GTTACTCTTGGTAACCCACACTGACTCTTGGTAACCCACACGGACTCTTGGTAACCCACACTGACTCTTGGTGACCCACACTGGCCTTTAGCGACCCACACTGACTGATTGTGACCATCCCTGTCTCCAGGTGGAGGACGAGATGATTCAGTGCGTGGTGTGTGAAGATTGGTTTCATGGCAGGGTGAGTCCTGTTAACATTAACCTGACTAATGCTGACGTTCAGGAAGCTTGAACTAATTCTCTAGCATTAGTTAGTGGACTAACTAACTAGGCTACTTTGAGGTTTTGCTCATTTCTATGTTTTTTATCTTGTGTAAAAATGTTTTATCTTTAACCCATGGCTTACATGTAACTGCTAACTGTTAACACTGTGTTTTCTGTTAGCTAACTCAGTGTTAGTTGAATATCTCTAAACTGACTCTTCGTTAGCTTTCTGTGCTAGCTAAAGCTAATGCCAGCACTAGTGTTAGCTGTTGTTTGCTCAGGTTAGCATTAACTGATGACCCGGTTCTGCAGCATCTTGGCTCGTTGGTTCCAGACTGTGTGGGGTCCCAAGAGATGATCTGTGAGTCCTGTATGAACCAGAACCCGTTCCTCTGGATCTATGCAGATCACCTGGCAGGTAAGTGCTACAAGTGGACCACAACTTTTTGTTATTTACCTGCTGTCTGTGAACCACTTGTGTTGTCTTGTATCAGCAGCTGTAGATCATGTGACCCAGGACGCCAAGGATGTCGAGGGCAGGGGGGGGCATGTTGGCATCTACCTCCCTGATAACCGCACTGATGTCATCGAGTCCACCAGCAAACGAGTCCGTGGAGAGCCGGAGCCAAACTGCAGACTGGAAGAGCTGCAAAAAATAAGTCAGAACAGAACCAGGACTGGGGCTGTTTTCTGGCCCTCCACGTGGCGTTCCAAACTCTGCTGCTGCAGCAGTTGCCAGGTAACTGCTGATGCCGTCTGGACTCTGTGTCAACCTCTCTGTTGACCTCTGTGTCGACTTCTGTGTTGACCTCTGGGTTGACCTATGTGTTCACATATATGTCGACCTCTGTGTGCCTTCAGGAGCGTCTCTCTGAAGCTCAGCTGAACTTCCTGTTCGACGAGTTGGACACAGTCCAGGCGTACGAGAGACGAGGACAAAACAAAGACCAGAACCAAGGAGGCCACGATCCACTCATGTTGGCACTGGACAATCTGAACCGAGTCCAGCAGCTGGAGATCATTCATGGTACTGAACCAGGACTAGAACCAGGACCAGAACAGAGCAGATTTTTAACTTTAACCCTAATTAGTCAGTTCCAGAAAGTCAAGAACCAGAGTTTTCTCTGTTTCCTCAGGTGATGTCATGCGCCTGAGGTTGAATACTTGGTACCGTCAGTACCGAGTATTCAACCTTTTTAATGATGAGCCGTGTCAATTCTTGGTAGAACTGATGGTGGCAGTAGTAGAGTAGTCGGTGTCACTGTAGAAAAAAGAACGACTGAAAACATCACCTCACCTCACCCATGTAGAAGGAGTCGTGAATGGAGAGCAGTTATAAATCCACAAGTTCGCAATCGGTTCCTCTGAATTTCTCAAACCAAAGGAGGAAACAGTTGAGGAACTCGGTGGACCACCTACGGATCGTTACCACCAGTTGATTGAAAAATTCTAGGTGAGTTAGTTTTACTATCATGTTTACATAATGTTAAACCTGAATAAGAGGCGTGGCTTTCTAGTACTGGTAGAGTGGCTAATCCTGAGTTGAACAGACAACTTTATAACCTCGTTTTATTTGAAGTCAAACTTTGTTTTTTCTCTCTACAGTATCAATCAGAAGATGATGACTCACACACAGACCCACCAACCATCACAGCCACTGCGGTACCGTGTGGTTTGTTTTTATGACCAGGAGACAATAGTTCACTGTTGTTATTTTTTAATGTAAGCTAACTCTTAGTAGCTGCTACTGCCGTTTAAATTTTGTGCAGTAAGATGTTGGAGCACAGTGATCCTGATTACTGACAGTTTTTAATAAAGTTGTGAATTTAAAAGTACATGTGTTCTGTTTTTGTGGTATTAACAACTGAAATTCTGGTATTGTACCAGCCCTAAAACCAGATTTTACCTGGGCTGGTTTGGTACCATAACCTGGAGTATTAGTTAATTATTACTGTTACTATTAAAAGACTAAGTAGACAAATACACTGTTTAAAATACTACACCTAACGTGGACAATCGAACTGAAACCAGGATCTGAAAATCTGGAATCAGGTAAAACTCTAAACTAGAAAATAAAATATTCAACATTTCCTCAACCTTGGTGACGCAGCGAACAATGTGTGTGTGTGTGTGTGCTGGTGTTACTGGTCAGTGATGTTGATCAAACAAGAACCAAGTCTTCAGTTCATGGTTTTGAAAGTTGTTACTTTTCAACTCTTAGTGTCTAATGTTAAAGTTTGATCCGACCTTTGACTGTTGACGACCTGTACCAAGCAGATCCCACTATCCTCAGTTTTAACATCGATATTTTCCACTTTGTTTTTCAGGGTACAACGACATGAAGTCGGAGCTTAAGGACTTCTTGCAGGGATTTGTAGCTGAAGGAAAGGTCAGTGACCTCCTGACCCCCTGACCTCATGATGTCATTAGAGATGTCACTAATGTCTTTTCTTACACAGGTTGTGACCCCGGACGACATTCGTCAGTTTTTTGAGCAACAACAGAGTCGTAAGAGACGGCGAGTAGATGCTGGACCTTTCTGACATCACTTCCTGTTTCATGTTTGTGCAACAATAAAACAAGTCATTCTTAAGTCTTAAAGATCAATGATTGGTTTTCTGTGACTCCTGGAACAACTTGCTCCTTATCTACAAACAGAAATACTCCAGAGTGTGGTAGTATGTGTAAGTTTAGTCATTCCAAATTGAGAGAAAAAAAAGAATGAACTGAGATGATATGAGGTCCTTGATCAGACCGTACAGTGTGAGTACATAAATCGTGAGCTTTGTCCGTACATCACTCGTACGGTTTGTGATGGTATCAACGACATGATTTTCAAAAATCATACAGTGTATGCCCGGCCTAAGTAGAGGAGCAGATTACTCCAACTGCCCTCACCTCCATCCGGGGCTTCACCTCGGTCACCACTCCCACTCCCAGGAGGGAGACTCCTGCAGCTGAGCGCTAACCTCCGCCGCATTGTGTATTTCATGTATTGACGTCATATGTTTGTCCTATATTTCCATTCTACCACTCTACTGTGAATATAACTGTGTGGAGAAGAGTGATACAGTCCAGGGAGGGGTGATAACAGTTGGAGGGGGGTGGTGATACAGTCTATAACAGTGTGGGGGAGGTTCGTAGAGGCTAAATATATACGTCAATATTATAATAACTATCTCTCCTCTACTTCGGGAATTTTACCTTTTTCACGGTGGGTCTTGGAACAGAACTACCCCTATAGGAGAGGGACCACTGTATATATGGTTGGTAGTTGAAATGCTTGAACAGATGATTTAAATGTAGTCACATGTTTTACTTTTTGGCTACTTTTATATTTTAATTCTTTTTCATGAAAGTCATAGTAATTTAAGTCCTTGTTGTCATTTTTGACATCCCAGAATAAGATTTTATTTTTAGTTCTTAGTGTAGTGAAGGTTGTACACACACCTTAGTTAGCCTCCCCTAGCTCCTCCCTAGCTCCTCCCTAAACCCATCCCTTAGCCCCACCCCCTTACTCAGGTGTAGTATATAAGGCCTCCAAATGGCTCAGTTCTCTCTCTGACTGCTGCCTGGTGAGGGTCTCTGTGCTTGTTCAGGTAGGTTGTGTACTGGTTCTTCTCTTCTGTTCTATTCTTTGTTAGTTTTGTCCTCTTCCCTCCATTTTCTGTGTGTTAATTTCCTCTTTTGTTTGGCCTGGTTACTTTCTTTGGTTAGGGTTAAGCTAAAGCTAACCTTGTTATCATATTTTCTTTGAGTTTGTATGTTGATTTGTGGTGTTGTAAATTATTAACTTTGTTGTTGGTTTTGTTAATTTTGTGCTTTTTTTTTTGTGTTTCTGTTTTAATTTTTTATTTTTATTGTGGCCTTGGTGTTGTGATGTGGCAGGCTCGGCCTTGTGGTTGGGACCCCACTCCTGTTAGGTCCACCTACAGGCCTGAGCTGAAGCCTCTTAGCTGTTAGCTTCTTTGGTTTTTGTCAAATGAGGTGCTTTCATCTAGTGAAGTTGGCCTCTCTGCGCCTCATGTTGAAGAAGTGGCTCAGATGCAGCTAGTTAGCAGTGTTCTAATGGCGGTGCTGCCCCTACAGGCCTGAGCTGAAGCCTGTTAGCTGTTAGCTGTTGGTTGCTTTGGTCTTGTTTCCTTTGGGCACAGAGCTTGAGTTGTGGAAACGCCATTAACGCTAGCGAAGTAGTGTAGGATTAAAATGTAAACCTAATGTGACTAAATGTAAACTGTGTGGCTGTTTTTAATGTTGTCATAATGTCATTATTTAAAACTCTTTATTTAACAGAGTGGCTATTTTAATTTTAATTTGGTTCTTAGTGTTTTTGCTGTGATCTTTTTCTTTTTTTGTATAACAAACGAGTTATAAAACCTGTCTTTCGTTTATGGTTTTTACTTTGATCATTTGATTTATTTTTTTTTTAATTTTTTTTTGCTGTGGGTTTTTTATATTTATGAAGAACAATTTGTGGCTTAATTGTTAAAAAGATTCATTTTTTTTTTATGGTCCAATCCATTAAAAATAGTGTTTTTTTTTTTTGTCTTTTTTTACTCTTTAAAATTTTTTTCTTTTTTTTTTTTTAATACAAACACTGAGGTTTTTGTCTTTGTGGTGACAACTGTTTTATTTATTTATTTTCCTCACAGAATCTTTTTTTTTTTTTTTTTTTTTTTTAGATTGTGGTAGTTATTTTTTGTGTACAGCTTATTCCTTTTAATTGTCAGGTTTTTGTATTATGTAAAATCATTGTCTTGGTATATATTGCTATGATTTATTTGATTGTGGTTATATTTATAATTCTTTTTTTTGAAGGTGTCAAATAAAAAAAAAATCTTATTTTCATTTGTTTGTGGTTCTGTTGGCTGATATATATCTATCTTTCTCATATATTATATATATTATCATACATATCATATCTCTATAGATATCATATGTCTATCTATAGATATATTATAGATTTCTATATGTATTGTTTATATTGTAAACAATATCTTCTTTTTCTTTCAGCTTTGTTTTTTTTTTTTTTTTTCCCTCTCAGTGTTTGCCACACCAAATCTGATTTCCATCTCTCCCTGTTCTCTG